GGTAGTTTAATTTCCCTTATCTGAATATCTTGATATTTGTATTCCAGTCACTTGGTACTGGATCCAATCTTTCTGTCTCCTGAATTTTGAATGATTATTCTTCAGACTATATATATATATATATATTTTTTTTTTTGTGGGTTTTTTTTGTGGGGGGTGGTTTAGATGCTCCTGTTTTCTTCAGGTTCGGATGCAGCACAGACAGAGATCCTACCAATCAGCCTCCATGGTAACCAGCCACTGGGGGAAGCGGGAGGAGGGAGGGGGAGTGATGGGAGGTGGGGGCTGGGATGGGATGGCTGAAGCGTGAGGAGAAGGCAGGGGGAAGGTCTGGATTTTTTATATCGAGGAAAAGATCAGCCGGCACTGGAGGAAAATCTGAAACAAACCATGTGATGGTTTATATTCAGCATGTTGAGTTCTGTTTGGAACAATATGTTTCATGTTTATATAAATTATATTTATCGTGTTTAATTTATGTGTTTCTTAGAGAGACTCTACATCTGTAGCCTCCTGTTGTTGGAAGAAAGAAGATGGTTTAAATGATAAAGCAGAGAAATATCACAGCATCAAACTGTATTAATTGTTTTTGTTTAAAAAAAGATCCTAATAAGTCTGAGCCAATCAGCAGCCAGGATTACTCCACTGTTGTCTTAGGAGACAAAGTGTCTTCTTCTTTAGGCTGTTCCCTTTACAGAGGGCTTCACAGAGATTAGTTGTCCTCTGTTCTCACTCTGTCCTCTTTCTCTCATCTGTCGTCACTCTGTCCTATGTGTGTTTTGTCCTCACTCTGTCTTCTTCCTGTCCCGGTCTTCTTTCTGTCCACTGTCAGTGTGTGGTGTGTTGTCTCTTTTTTTTCCTTTTTTTTTTGTGTCACTTCAGTAGAACACGAAACCAAATATTAGTTTATTTAGTTTATTCATTTCTTCATCATCAGTGACTTTTTATAAGTGAAGAGAAAATACTGTAGAAACAGAGAGAAAAACACAGAGAGAAGTAATTAGAAAGATAGAAAGATTGAAATAGCGATTAGAAGTATATTAAATATACACCAACAAAACACAGGACCACACACCCAACATCTGTCCCCTCACCTGAAAAATAAATGGATAAATACCACAACAATGGGATTTTGATGAAATGAGTGGAAAGAAAAAAAAAACAAGCCTGTTTAGAGCTCATCAAGTTCGTTTTTTTTTTTACTGTTAAGAAACTTTGCAATGAAAAATGTAGTTTTTGCTCAGTGACTGAGAGTTAATTTGTAACCTTCTATTGTGTCTGCCTCTTTTTTTGCCTATGTTAAAATGTTTGCTTTTTTGGGAGTGAGTGAGTGGTTAATATGGTGACCCTAATAAGTCACTTACAGCGGCTTCAGCATAATTTTTTTTTACCTTGATTGTCTTTATGCTTCTTATACAGTTTATATATCAACACATTCGACCTTCTATCAGCTTTGTTTACTATAAAAGTAAATATCAAATTGTACTTTAAAGATGAAAGTTTATTTATGGTGGAATTTCAGGCTGCCTTTGGCACCATTCAAAATGTCTTCAGAAGTTTTCTAGTTCTTGATGGTAATTTACAGCCTGCAGGCTATTAATTATATGTAGATGTTATACATTTTGAAAAAAAGT